TTTGCATACAGGCTTGCTGACATGCCTTTTCACCACCTGTCTTGTACACATCTCCCACATCTTCCAGTCTTCCATTCTAGCTGAAACTCTCCCAACATGTGGCCAGACACAGGTGTTTTCAGTGCACCATGTCCTGTGTGGAAGAAAAACACAACTCTCACCTCAAAGGAGAAAAGAGTTCATTCTGGAGACAAAAATGGGTGACCATGGCCAGGGAACACAGATTTAAGCTAACCCAAATTCCATGTTTCAACATGGTAACAGAACAAAGAAAACCATAAGTCAAGATACTTCTGTCTGCTTACTCTGCCTCCCTTTCTCCCTCCCTTCCTGTCTTTTCATTGTGTAGTCCTGGCTAATTATGTCAAACCAGGCTGGCCTTGGGATCACAGAAATCTACCTGCCTCTGCCTCCAGAGTTCTGGGATTGAAAATATGCACCTCTATGCCCGGCGTAAATCAAGATAGTTTTCAAGTATATTGGTAGAAACAGGGAGGTGGGTTACAGCAAACTGGAGAAACCTCTCCTAGGCCTCGGATGTTATCTGTGACACTCCTGGCTTTTGGGTTGGCAGAAGTTAGTGTTCTGCTAAGTTAATACATTCCAAAGAAAAACTAGTGCTCTGTTTCTACAATACAAATGATTTGCCTAATGGTCACAAAGCTCTTAGGTTAGGAGAGCAAGAAATGACTATTAAAGAGGGCTAAAGGTGGCCCAAGATAATTAGACTCTGGATTTGTAACACTCTAAACTCTATGATCATTGAAGCTCTGATCAGTTAATCAGTCTTGCAGAAGGTTCAGTTTGAAGGTGTAGCTTATTTCTGGCAACTTTCATCCACACTTAGCCTCTTTACATAAAATATCACATAATACTCTTAAGTGCTTGCATTTTTTTTTTTTTTTTTTTTGTCTTTTTGAGACAGGGTCTCCCTGTAGCCCCAGCTCTCCTGGAACTCACTATGTAGACCAGGCTGGCTTCAAACTCAAAAAGATCCACCTGCCCGCTTGCATTTTTGTCTTTGAACTGAAAGTTCCTTGAGGAGATGTTATTTTTATTTCCAGAGATGACACAGAACCTTGCATGATAGCCTGACGAAGGACCCCGTAAGGACCTCTAGAGATGTGAAGTGCAAGCCAACAGAGTCCAGGGGGCAGAGGTGTTAAGAAAGAAGGCTGAAGAGTATTGTCCTAGTTTGCTTTTTGTTTCTCTAATAGAACACTGACCAAAAGCATCTTGGAGAAGAAAGGGTTTTTTGGCTCAGACTTTCAGGTCACAGTTCATCATTGAAGGAAGTCAAGGCAGGTATTCGGTGGCAGGAACCATGGAGGAGCCCTGCTTGCTGGCTCCGTCTCTGTTCACTTATACACAGGCTCATGCTTGGCCAGCTTTCTTATATAGCTTCTTGCCCAGGGAATGGTGTTGTCCACAGAATAGGCCCCCAGTTAACAATCAGGACAGTCTGATCTAGGTAATTCTTCAATGGAGCATTTCCTCTTAGATGACTCTATGCTGTGTCAAGTTGACAATTAAAGCTAACTAGTACACATATTAAGTATTGTTTTTTGTTACTTCTTTGGTGGTAAAATGAGGAATTCCCTTAAGTGCATGCAATAGCCAGTCAAGAAATTTATGAATGAATGAATGAATGAATGTATATAGACCATACCATAAGGCCTGAGGAGTTCTTTTGCAGGATCAGTTCACATGCATGGTAAGGCATATCCATCAGCTGTAGTGATTTGAGAAGGAGTGGTTAGGAATTGGAGACCAGACTGGTCACCTTTGGCTATGAGAAGGAGACACAGAATTAGGAGTGAGTCTTGTGGCATTTGCTCTGTTCTCCCCTCCTGTCTTCAGTGGAATGCCATTGATAGGGAACTTCTTAGCCCCCTTCCTCAGCATAACAGTTACCTGTCTCCCCAGGTTCATGGCTTTATGCTTGGGGAGGGACACCCATGTGAACCTGGTGAGTCATCTCTGAGGCCACCAAGAGAAGCATTGCCTGAGGGGGACCGTGGTTCACCTTCCTGCACTCTCCTCACTGGCAGGAGTGTAATTCAGGCGCTTAGTTGTGCTGCCTCCCTCAAGACCACTCTGTAGTGGTCTCTCAGCCTCCTCATGCTCACAGTGCTCAGTTCTTCCTAGTCATGGTTGTTGTCCTTCGAGTTCTGCTTTATTCTTTTAAAAATTTATTTATTTTTATTTTATGCATATGGATTATGCCTGCATGTAAGTGCACCCGAGTTGTATAATGCCTGTGGAGGACAGAAGAGGGTGTTGGATCCCCTGGGACTGGAGTTACAGATGTTGTTAGCTGCCATGTGGGTGCTGGGATTTGAAGCCCAGTCTTCTGCAAATACAGCAAGCGCTCTTAACTGCCGAGCCATGCTTCCAGCCCCAAGTTCTGCTTGATTCTTAATTGTGGGTCTTCCCTTCTTTAGTTCCCTAAAACCTGGCACTTGCAAACACCACCAGGCAACAGCAGCCCTTGTGTTTCCTGCCAGCCTGCAGAGAGTTGAAGACTATCCTCAACTGTTTCTAGCACTCTAGTGCATGTTCTCTCAGCTGTTCGTGGACACTTGAGCTGTTTGGCCTGCTTCTGGGCTCGGTGCCCTTCCAGAGTCATGAGGGCCTTAGTAGGTTTGGCCTGTTAAGAGTTTTTGAAGCAGAACTATGCACTTAGTGTTATAAAGTGATGTGCCTCAGAATATTGGGAAACATTTTCTCTTACCTATAGTAGTTCTATCATAGTGAATCTTTTATGGTATTTTGAAATATTTATCAAAGTATACCCTGAAGGAATGTACCCATTGGATGTGGATGGATATCTTTTCTGTTCTGTTTGCTTGGAATCCTCCCAGGAGATCATCAGTGATGCATCTCTCTCCTCAGGCACCACATGGTCTCTTCCTTAGTCATACAGTATTTGAACTGTTTAGAATTACAGACTGGATTTACTACATTGACCCTCTTAGGCAGACCTTAAAAGGTGAGTTATTAGAACTTGTTAAGCTGTGACAGTCACATTTTGTTCATCACCTGGATGTGGTCCCAAATGATCTGCAGGCCTGTAATCTGGAGTGACTGAATTTCCTGGAGTAGCCTGATGTAGGCAGGTGTTTAGATTTCTGGGAAGTCAGTCTGCATGAGTAGAAGAAGTACTCGTGTCCATTCTCGTATTAAGACTATGGCATTTTCTCTGTTGTCCCCTCCTGGTCAGCTGTCTTCAGTGGAGTATCATCCACAGGGAACTTCTTAGCTTTTTCTCAATATAAGGGTCACCTGTTGAACCGGACTTGATACCCATAGATAATAATAACTTTTAGCCCCAGGAGGACATCGATGGGAACCTGATGCAATCATTCCTGAGTTATCCGGAGAGGGACAGCCTGAGGGAGCCTGTGCACCTTCATTTACTTTCCTCACACCTGCAGGGGGCTCTCTCCACAGAGAACAGAATTTCTCTTTGGGATGTGAGCCCTTAAGAAGACCTTTAAAAGAAGCCTTCAGTGTTGATGTGTAATTTAAATAACATGTTTTTAGACCTAGTCTTGAACTTTCTGTGCAGCCAAGGATATAACCTTGTACTTGTGATCCTCCAGTCTCCACCTTCCCAGTGCTGGGTTACAGGTCTACACAACAGTGTGTGTGGTTCTAGAGATTGAACCAGAACTTAGTGTGTGCTAGGTAAATACTCTACCAAATGAGCTACAGCCCCAGCCCCTGAACTTTTTCTTATCAAAGGAGATTTACCAAGAAAAATTTATGCAGACTGTGATATAATTATTTTCATTAAGAAAGAAAAAAAGAATAAAACACAACAGCTTAAAAACAAAACCTTATCTTCTAGTGCATGTAATTGTCCTCTCTTTATCTATTTGACTTTGTTTATATACCATTCATGTTTCTCTCATGTTAATGTATACTTTGCATCCAGAATTATTCTATGAACCTTTTAAT